AATTAAATTCACTCATTTAATATTGATACTAAAATTAATATCAAATTTTACATTTTTTTGTGTATTTATAATAAAAAATACTCATAATTTGTGTTTTAAGAATATAGATTAGAAATTAAGAACATAGATTAGAAAAATCTTCTTTTTTATGATTAAAAATTTGTAAATTTTTTTTGCTTTTATTTGTATTGTCTTTAATAAAAATTAAAGATAAAAAATTTAGTAATAAAACAAATAGTTAAAATTAAATAGAGTAAAATAAAAAATTATTATTATTTTAATACATAATAGAAGATATTAATCTAAAAAAACAAAAAAAAACAAAAACAAAATTACCAACGATGAATGACAAAGAGAGTGCAACTTCAACCATTTGTTAATAGACGAATGAAAAAGGGGTTGGAGAAATAGATTGAAAAAAAAAATATATACCATTCACATTTTCTTCTTCTTCTTCAACTTTTCAGCCTTTTGTTAATAGACAAATGAAAAAGGGGTTTGAGAAATAGATTGGAAAAAAAATAAAATAAAATTTACCATTCACATCTTCTTCTTCTTCTTCTTCGTCTTCTTGATGTGCTAACATTTTTTGACTTTGAAGAGTTTTAGTCAATCCCCACGTGCATAAACGATATTCTAGTCTAATTTCAGAATTCCCACTAGCAGCCGTGGATCATACATGTGGGTTAGATAGGTTTTGGTTTCATAAGTTTTGGTTTGAACTGATCTTAACCGTTAGTTTAATTTATTTTAATTAGTAACTTGGTGACTTGGAAAATGGCATAAAATATACTTCAATTAAGATATTCCTAAAACTATTTCATAAAAGGATAAAAGAGACAGGGAAAAAAAAATGGGAAAAAAGAAAAAAGAAAAACGTCTGAGAAATCTTTAAACACCAAATAATGGCTAGGACCACCATTTAAATACTAAAATGTCATAATAATAAATTTGAAGAAAGTGCTATATCGACACTAATGAGGGTGGACCCTTGATATATCAATGGCGCTCTATTGAAGTTAGTTTGAAGTTTTATAATTCAATATGACGTGAACTGTAAAAAAAAATTTATAAATTTATAAGTTTGTCTAACTTTTAAAGCATCATTTAAGTTTTATTAATTATAATATCTGTAATTAATTTTATATAAATTTTTAATTTAGATTTATATCTTTTTATAAATTTTTAGTGTAAATATTATATTATATTTTAATTAAATTTAATATTAAAAATTATGTAAAATTAATTATAAATACTACATTTAATAAGACTTAAAACACATGTTTAAAAATTTTATAAATTTATAAGGCTACTAAATATTTAAGTTTTTTAATATAATATATATATCTCATTATTTATAAACTTGGAACCGTAAATAACATTGTAACTTGTATTATTTTTATTTTTTGACTATGAAAATATAGAGGTAATACTTGAAATTATAATAAAATGCAATAATTATCATTTTTAATATTTTATTATAAAAACTTATATTATTATTTAACAATTATTTAAAAAAATCTTATATATTAATATATAACTATAAAATTATATAAAAATAAATAAAAACTAATTTAATTACTATAAATTAACATTTTATTATAAAATACTGTTACAAAAAAACGTCATGGGAAAGCAACCCCCACAGGTACATGAGATCAGAACTAAACTAACTCGTTAAATGGGCCGGCATTGATTGGATTTGACCCGGTCCGACCAACAGTTAAAGTTAAACCATGCGCATGGATAGGGGGGGCGGCAATCAAACGTATTCAACCCTAGCGATAAGCACCACGTGTCAAACATCTATTGCCTTAAAAACATGAGAAGTTCCAATCAGCGATAAAAGTCGTTTGACTTTACATGAAATTATAGCAACACA